ATAATTAATTTTCATTAAATTATTGGATAGTAATTATTTGTTTTTGTTCTTATTGCTAGTATTTGGTCTTTTTCTAAAAATAGATATAAAAAGTTGACGAAAATTGCAACTTTTAATTTATATGCTGACAAAGGTAGAAAAGGCATAACAGAGAAAGGTTAAAATGTTTTCTTATTATACAACGGAAGTTGTTTCATGTTACGGTAGACAAAAAATTGAAAGATAAGTTAATTTAGTGCTGAGAACCACCTTAAAAAGAAAAAACCCTGATAAAATTGTCATTTCCGGAAAATCACCGCGGATGCCTCGTCTTCTCTATCACTCACCCCCCTCCCCCCGTCGACCGTTGTCCTACACAAATGTGTAAACTTTGCAACCAGCGCTTCTTCTCAAACCCTTTTTCACTGCTGACAGATGAACGATTTAGTGAAAATTAACCACTTTTTAGGTACCTACCCTGTTCTCGCTTCTCTCGATACCTTGTGATTTTACAAGAGTGAATCCATGTTTAACTCTCCACTTTCTCTTCTTCTTTCAGGTAATCAACCATTTCCGGTGTTTTACGAATGACAAGAAAAAATTTTTTCGAAGGATTGTCAATTTTCCAAAAGAAAAAATATAAATGACATTATTCTTTTACTGCCTTTCATCACTACCCCAAAAATTGTCGCAATAACCAAATCACGTACGTTGTTACTTCCTTATTTACTTAATCATTTATATCACGTATATTCTCATATAATTATTTATATAATCAGTTTTAAAAAAGCATTGGGAAATGCATGCTTTTATCAGTAAATTTGTATTCGCTATAAGCAGTGTCTATATTTAGCCAGATATTCAATTTCCAAGTTCACATTCACTTTGTTAGCACTAAATGATCATTTAAGAACTATAAATTCCTCACATCACTTATGTCTTTAAATATTATCTTTTCCATAAATGCTATTTTGTCAAATAAATTTTCTGTCGATTTCGAATCATCATTAAGTTCAATTTAGCATAATGTTATTAATACCGTATACCACTGTCTCCTGCATTACTTCATTACCAACGATTCATCTGCTGCGTTTTTTACTGCTCTTGAATTATGTACTTGGTTTAACTTACAGTTACTTACCAGAATTTGCCCTTTCTATCAAAAAATACTCTGAAATAATAAATAATGAGGTTAGTATTTACAATAATCTCTCAGTGAATTATATCTTGAATTTTACTGAGTTTGTATTTATTCAAAAGTAGAGTGAATAAAGAAGCTGAAGTGAGATTACAATGTTTAGCTTCAAAATTTCAAGTAAAATAACTTTCTCACGAATAATCTTCAAAAAGTTCAGAAATTGTTTAAGATTAATTATTTTTAATTTTTCGTTTTTTTTTTTTGCGATGCATTTTTAATTTAGAATAAGAATGAGCAATGAAACACTTAAAAAATCAGTCTAGCCATTTGCATTTTCAGAAATTAGTTAGGAAAGGATCAGCAGTGCAAGGAGAATTGAGTCAAGTTGAAACTCTCACTGATTCATCGACAAGATTTTTTGATAAAAGTGATTTCAAATCTACTAATAATCTAAACAAAAATGTTGGAATGTTAGTGCGAATAACCCCAAGAATGATTAACTATTGGGCAAAGGTCAACTTCTTAATAACACTATTGAAGTTTGAATGAAAAAATTCGCTCCAAGTATAAATAACCATTACTTTAACTCATCTTTTACTCCATTTTCGTTAGCATTTAAATCATTTTGAGCGTATTCAATTTATCAAAAACAAATTTCAGGAATTGAGACTGATGTTTCAAGAAGAATTGCAAAATGTGCCATTACCAGAATTTTCTCGCATTTTGATGAAATTGAATGTATCAATACTCGCGCCAAAAATTCAAGACGCAAAGTTTCCAAGGTTCAGCTATAAGGTACAAGTTGTTTGTGCAATGAAATCGAAAAAATCTACAAATTTTAAAAAGCAGAGTCATTTACTCTTTGAGCAAAATATTTTTGAAAAAATATATTATTGCTCCTTGCAAACATATAATAAACAGACTTGATATGTGTCATAAAAAAGCAAAGTATTCAAATATTACAATAGGAAATATTTTAAGAATTAACAGTAAGAAGTAGAAAAAAATTAATAAATTTTTGCGTAAGTATCCTTTGTAAGTTTAATTAAGTAAAAGTTGGAAGTTTAGGTACACGCCAACAACACTGTTGAGACAGTACTTCGAGGTGGATCAGCACAGCTGCTAAGTTCTTATCGAGCAGTTTACCGAACAGTACGTGAAGGACATTTGGTTGCTAATATCAGTGAATTTATTATTAATATCAAATTCAAAATTGGAACAACTTTTGCTGGAAAGTTGGTGGTCAGTTTATGAAAATAATTAATTTTAATTCGAAAATTTCCACCTAATTTTATTAATTTATCGCTTAACAATGCATTCATATCAAAACTACAAAAATTAAACAGTAATATCATCATGCAGTCACATTTTATAAATTTCTACTTTTTATCCCATCTATGATTCTAGCAATGTCATAAAATTATATGCTTTTTGCAAGCATTTTTGAATTAAGTAAAAGAAGAATTGTTTGAAATGAAATTATGATGATATCAAATGTGTTTAATGTTAAGCTTGCAAATCATGTGCTTTTTTTAGCTAGAAAATATCGTTTGTGGAGCGGAAGTAAGATCAATTAATGTAAAGTTAACTCCAAAATTGCATCAGCTAGTTGATGAAGGCTTACGGATCGAGTTAAATGAAGCATTATCTGTAGTAATTTGCGATTCTCTCGAGACTTTTACTAACAAGTTTGAAGAACGCCTAAATAAATTGATTCGTTCACCAATTCTAAATATTAGAGTAAGTATTTTGTAGCTATCAGATCTATTAATCTGTACTTTCATAATTCAGTGGCTCACTTCGTTTCATTTAATTCCAACGTATAAATTTCAGTAAACAAGCTTCACTTACTCTTTGTGCTCTTAATTAAATTTCACCGGCATAAAATATATCTCGTAATCTCATAAAATAGAAATTTCAATATGTGAAAAACCTTTTAGCAAAATATCATATATCGATTTTAATCAGTTATCACTAACTAAATTTTTAAATAAGCTTTTTAAATAATATATTTGTTTAAAAGTTGATTTCAAAATTATAGACTATAACCAGAAATACTTGATGAAATATTTGCTACAATCATGTGCATTTAATTTTCTAATTAGAGCTATTGTTAAAAAAATCGTTTCATTTTTATTTGATGGCTCTAATTCATTTTGAAATAAGCTTTGTTACATTTGAAATCTATAGCTAGTTCGATTCCAATTTATGGTGACTGACTTAGCCATGAAAAATCTAAATTATCGAATATACCATTAGATACAATATAAATTATAGAATATATATGTATATATTAAAACTAACTATATAATGAATTTATACTGAATTTCCTTATAATTTTTGCAGATTAATGATACAACAGTACACTTCTTGATTGATTCAACTATAAGTAATGATATCTCAATATCTGAAGATCACTTTGACTTTCCGGTGCTTGGCACTCCAATGGTTTACAATATGGAAAGTGAAATACATTCGTTAACGGTATGCGCAATGTGATAGCTTTTAGCCCCAAAAAAAGCCTTGATACCGATCAATTTTCTATATCAAACTAGATATGCAAGCACGATTTAAAAAATTTTGGCATTTTTAAAAAATCTTTTTTTGGATTACAATATCAAAAATTAAAGTACTAATGATCCATTTTAAGTGTGGATATTTGTTTGCTTTTTTAACCATTTTTTGTAAATATTGCAAACTTTAGATTCTGCCGAGTGATAAACTGAAAATGGTTTATTTGTACGTGTCAGAAGTGATGATGAACACGTTTCTCAGGCAAATAGATATTTTTACTGATAAAGTGCTGTATTTACATTCTGATCCAGCATTTCGAAAAATGTTAGATCTAAAATGTTCTGATAACGAAAAATGCATTGGTGACTTGTTACAGGACACAGAACTGTATGCACCTGATTCTGGTAACTTTTTTGTAACTTCAAGAAGTCTTTTTATTTTTTTAAATTTCATGCAAATTATTAACATTATGTTATGCCTTAATCAATGTTAGCAAATACTTTGAGGTTTGAAAAAAATACGTCTTTTAATTGAATAAACATGTTATAAAAATAACCAGTTGTTTGGAAAATATGTAACTGATATGGATCAGAATTAACTTTAAAAGATTGTATATTTCAAATAATTTTTCTGAATTCTTTATTTTATAATTACAAAAATACTGCTCAGCAGTTAAAAATATGACTTTCAGGTAAAATGGTCATAAAAATGCATTCTCCATTAGTTGCATCAATCAAAAACGGCTATATGCTAATTAATTTATACCTTTCAACGTATATTACTTACAAACAAGACGAATTGGACGTAAAAGTGATGGAATTTGAATTACTTGGAACAGTCCGCATCGATGATTATTACGTAAACGAACAGTTGACTGAAAAGGTATACTTGAAACATTTCCATAAGTCAAAATATTTTTTTCAATAATTCAAGTAATTAGAAAAAAACAAATAATTTAAGCGAATTATTTAAATAATTTACTTTCAAAGGTGATAGAAAATCTAAGCATGACTTATGCTTTGTATATTCATTTGCTACTGTGGAAGCAAAATTTTCCCATATTTATTGTCGAAAACTGCCATTTAAAATTCTTTCTGTTTTATTTCGTATTCTTTGTGTAAGACAGTTTCGTATACTATTAGTCAGTAAGTACAAAAATGATAATTAACGACGTAATTTTTTTCCTCGCAAAATATGCACTGTTTAGAGTGTGAAATTTGAATCTTTCTCATCCACTGATAGTCTTAACTGTATTTAATTTATCCACAACGAAACATATTCGTAACTCTAATTACTCACTCTAATTGCTTTTAGCACGAGTCAGTACGAAATAGAAATTCAATGTTGCAGCTGTCTGAATTATCAATTCGCAATGTCACACCATATGTAGAAATGATCAGCAATTATGATGGACACTTATTACAAATTATTTCACTAAGAAAAGAGCTTTTACAGGTTTCTTTTAAACTGCTATATCTACTTTTTCACTAAAATCAGAATGGCAGCAGTCTCCACAAATACATAAATTAAAACATAAAAGCATCAGAAATAAATTCGTATTTGTTAAAAAAATATGAGAGAGAAAAAATTCAATTAATAACTATAAAGTGATTTATAAAGTGATCTTGGATCAATGTTCAAGCAAATTTTTCTGAGCATATTTAGTTTTAACAATGCAGTTTTGGATGTGTAAAATTTTTTAAAAGTGTTTTATATTATTCAAAAAATTTCTTTAATTTACATAATTTCTTTTGCGCTTGATCTTGTCAAGAAAAGTAAATTGTATTATAAAATTTTGCACTTCTACAGAAGTTGTTATTGGAACAATGCTCGATGATAAAGTCAACTACTAGTGATTTGTATCAGACAGTAAATTGTACAGTAACTTTTCGGAATAAAACGCTTGTGATTGCAACAGACTTGGAATGGAATCCAGAAGTTTTTCACTACTTTAATTTTTCGTTTTAAATTGATGAAAATTCAGGTAGTAACTTCAAATTTGTATACGTGATCTTTACGAGGAATACTTATTTTAATTACTTATAAACTACTAATCCTTTCATGTCCTTTCCAGCAATTTAGTTTCACTTATGTTATATATCATTGATACTAATGTGAAAAGAAGTGATTTCATTCTGTTTAAAATTCCAAAAAAATTTACGATCTAAAAATTCATAAAAATTTGATAAAATTACTACTTTTGGAGAGAAAGCGTCTCAGTTTTGTCCTCCAAAAATTGGTACTTCACATTTTTTTTCTAACTTTAATAAATACAGCAAGCATTACAATCCATCCACATTACTACTTCAGAATATAAAATTGAAAAATTAATATATGAAAAAAATTTCCTCTAAATGAAACTACTTACAGAAAATTGTAAATATTTTAAATATTTTGAAATGTATTGTTTTTATTAAGCTTATTTGTGTAGAAAATTGATGTATATTTTTCAATGATCTCATTTTATGCATTTGTGATTGATATTGTCAGCTAATGTTGTTTTATTTGCAAATATCTTGATAAACAACTTTCCGAACTGTTTCATTGCTTTAAGAAACATTTTTAAGAAAACAAAACAGAAATTAGTGAGTATTTAAATTCTGACTGCTAATTAAATTAAATAAAGAAAGAAATTGATTGATGAGCAGTGGAATTTTAAGTGTCATTTGATTACAAAATTTTCAATCTAAAATACTGGGTGATACTTTCAAATTTGAAAATAATTGAATGCTGACTGGAATATTACTAAAATTGCAAAGTAGTCTGTTGGTGATTAGCATTCTGTTATTGGCATTTTCAAAAATTATTAGACAAGAATGACTTATAAATTTAAATACCTTATAATGTAACTGGATAAAAAGATAAATCTTGAAATTTCAACACTGTAAGCCAAAATAATACAAATACAGTTTTAGTTTACTAATTAATTAACCCTTCAAAACTTTTTTACACTAGCAAAAAATTTTTAATTTCATATATTTATTGATTCAGTCCCTTCAGACTACAGCGATTCTTTTACACTACACCAAATATGCTGCAGATAAATTGAACTTTTGACATAACATGAGACGATTTGTTTTCATAACGTTTCATTAAGAGAATAACTTGCTTATTTCTCAGTGATTTAACGCCGTGGTTTTTCAAATTGCTATTTAATTTATGTTTAAGTTCTTTAGTGCAATTCTGTTTGAAAATTGACTAGGATTTTGGAATTTAATATATAACCATATATTCCTTTCTGTTTTGTTTCGGAAGTTTATTTACAATGATTTTGAAATGAATATTTTACCATCGAAAACGTTTTTGAGCAAAAATTAATTTAAGGCTATGAAATCGACGCGTAGTCCAGCAGAAAAATGCGAAGAAGTAAAAAAAGAAGAAAACGAGGAAGTTCAAGAAGCTCTAGCTACTACATCTGACGAAAAAGTGAACCGCCTATATCACTCCATTCCGAAATCATCTAAAAATGAACGAGCTAGAGAAATACGTTTAAATAAAGCTGCTGTAAGTTGATATTTTTGGTACAAGAGTTTTCTTTTGTAAGCCAGTAAGCAGTCACTTGATTATTTTATCTAAATCTGATCAAGATTCCTATCGCTTGTTAAAATAAACTCAAGTGTTAGACTTTGCATTTTTAGTTTCAAGTCTACTTATTGTTGTTCACTATATCATGAAAGATGCTTTTGTGTTAAAAAAAATCCACGAATATTGCATTAATCATGTATATCACACTGCTAATATGCTCGCAGCAAAAAGAAATCGGAAGTAGACATTTATCTTTAATCTAATTTAAATATCTTTTTATTTTCATTAGGCAAAACGTGAGCGACAAAAGTTTCGCGCAAAGCTGCGTAAAAAACTTGGGGAAGCAGCAGTACCAAAGGAGAAGCCACGAACGATTGAAAGCACTCGTGAATATGATATGACTATGGTAGAAGAGGATGATGAAGAAGTTTGTTTATTTTATTACAAATTAGGGACAAAGTTTTGAGACAGAGTTTATGCTTGCTTATTTTACTCATCAATTGTTTTAGCTAAACTCTTAAAATTTAAAAATTTCATGGCTTTTAAAATTTTCAGTAACTTTCACAATATCCTGTAGCATATGATTTCAGGAAACAACTAATGAAATCATTCCTTAATTGGTATATTAGTAAAAATATCTCGTTTAGATATATCATGATGAAAGGAATGATGAGATGAGCGCATATTTTGGTGGTGATGCTGAGCCAAAAATTTTGATAACTACTTCACCTTTTGCTAAAGTGGTTAGTTTTTATATCACATAGGGTCATAAGCTTCTTTTTTTATTGCTGAGAATGTTTTTATAAATACGGTGTTTCGAAATTTTTATTGCACTCATATATAAAGATTGTTTGAATGCTGTTGTGAAAATTCTATAATTTCAAAAACTTTTCTAATATAGATATAAAATAGCATTCTTTATTTCAGAATAGTTTCAAATTTTGTTACGAATTACAAAAATGTATCCCGAATGCCCATATATTTACTCGTAAAGGAATTCCACTCAAAAAGGTCGTAAACCAAGCGAAATCTGAACAATATACAGATTTGGTTGTGATTCATGAGGATCGAAAAATGCCTAGTAAATTGTTTATTTCCAAGTTACATTTCTGACCAAAAATATTTTTAATGAGTTGAAGCTAATAAGTTTGTTGAAACTCAAGAAGTCCTTTAGTATTCTGTGCATTATAATATTCTTTGGAGGATCTTATTCCATAATTTATATTGTAGATTTGTATTTTCAAATTTATTTGCAGACGGTGTTGTTCTCTGTCATTTACCTGATGGTCCAACTGCATTTTTCAAGATTAATAGCTTGAAGTTCACTAAAGACCTAAAGGTAATGATTTATTACAGAAAATATTGTTTTGTTTAGGACATGTATGTTTTTCGTCCATCTTTTGTGTTAGGCATTTAATTATTATTGTAAAATATCAAAAAATTTTAAAAATGACGATGTAGTCATTTCCAACTGCAGAAAAAAGGAGAGTCCACAACTCATTATCCTGAGCTGGTATTGAATAACTTCAACACACGACTAGGGCATACAGTTGCTCGAATGTTTGCATGCCTTTTTCCACAAAAACCAATGTATACTGGTCGACGAGTTGTTACTTTTCACAATCAGCGTGACTACATATTTTTCAGACATCACAGGTTTTTTCAGTTTTTACCAATATATATGTCGTTTTGAAAGCTTATCTTAGATATTTTGTTTTTCTTAGAAATGGCTTGATATTTTGTTTGGTTCAGTAAGCTTTCTTCTTTTTATTATGTCTTTTTGATAAATTCTTGAATATTGTTAGTAGTAACACTTTCTCTTATTGAAGATTACTGCACTAGTAGCATCAGTCTTTATTTTATAGATACGAATTCAAGAATAAGGGAGAAAAAGCAGCACTACTTGAGCTTGGACCTCGTTTCACTTTACGATTGAAGTGGCTACAAAAAGGAACATTTGATACTCGACATGGTAACTACGAATGGGTATTAAAGGTGTCTTTTGATTTTTTGCAACACACAGGTTTTTTTTGTCAATAACTTGGAAGGGCTAGTTTAGCATGTTTTCATGATGGGAAATAATTTTCCTGCAACTGGAAGAATTTGCCAAAAAATGAAAAGAGAACTTATGAATTTACCCTTTTGTAGCCAAAATTAAGAAAAAATATGCTTCATATAGTTTATTTTTTCAGAGACATGAAATGGAAACCAGTAGGAGGCGATTTTTTTTGTGATGAGTTGTTTCAACAAATTTGCTATTATCATTTTTATGGAATAATAAATCGATAAAAAAAGAGTTCGAGTTGTTGCATCATACATTTGCTCATCTGATATTGCTGCAAGGCAATGCATGCTACATTATTCGTATTCAACTTTTCATACTTGATTGCGTAAGAATCAGTTATTTGAGTTAGTTGTTATGCCGAAATGGAAAATATTTTACTTTTACTAAACGAACTATAGTTATTAATCACCTAAGTATCAAGTGATGCTGAGTGTGTTTTGCTTGTCTCGAATCCTTTTAATATTTCAATTCTCTCAAGCAATAACTTTTTGCTCATGCAAGGTGTGTTTTTGGCATTGCTCAGTATGTATTCTTTCTTTCCACCTATAATGTCGATAGAGAGAATATCCGAGTGAGGTTAAGAAGATTGTTCCTATGAATGCATGACATCCTGCGTATACCATGAACTGCAAGAAGATTTGATTAACTGACTCTTAGTATTTGTAAATATATTTTATGTTTTCTAGTTAGCTATTTATTCAGTACTTTGCATTTCGACAAAGGTTGAATGCATTTCATTTATTATGTCAAGAATTATTTTGGATATGACTTAGCTATGGGACCTCTGTTATCTTTCGTTGGTTACAAAATAATTATGACGAGATATCAATACCTGTTTTCGGACTGGCATGTTTAATCCATGATGGTCAGGTACAATGATAGTAAGCAGTACTTGTAGTGTCAGAGCGATAAATGAATTCAAACCAAATATGAGACCGAATGACTCACCGATCATTTTCTTTGCTAAATTCCACCTTCAAATATGCAAGCAAAAGTTATTCCTCAAAATTGAGACCACATTTTTTAAATTTATAGGTACTAAGGATCCATTAATTTCTTGTTTATTGCAATTGAAAGTTATTAATTTGGAAGTAGTAGTTAGTTTAAATATGTGTATTTTTGTCCACATACAATAGTTACTGTATTTTTGTACTAAACACTTCTTGACAGTAAATATCATCTAATTCATGACAAAGCAGCACACAATCTGTAAGAGAAAGTGTAAAACGTGCAGTGAATATCAAGTAAGTAAATAATGAAGTTGTACTGAAAGTGTAAAACTCTTAAAGAATGAAAGAGTGAGCATCAGGAATCTCTTAAATTTCTAACTTGAGACTGACCAAAACTAAATCTTTTCTAAGATGATAGAATCCGGATATATCTTAGATTATCATTGTTAAATCTAGATCAGTATACTCACTGAGCAATAGTAATCGTCACTTGGTAAAAACACCTGTAGCCAATATAGCACATATACATGACCTGTATACTTTCTGCTTGGGAATAGACAATTAGTATCAGTGTATCAGTTAAAGAAATTACTGCAAGCATTAGTTCACCCCATTTATCCCAATTTATTTCTGCTAAACCCAATATTAAAATCGCTATTGTTGCTGAAATTTAATGCAATGAATTATCGCTTATTATTACATAACTACTTTCAGTCTTGGAAAGAATGTTCTTTGTTTTCTGGTCTCATTTTGAAGGAAAAATATTTAGCAAGTGACAAGTTTTTTTTTAGTTTTCAGACAAGAACTTTGAATAATATCTTTAAATCACAGCAGAACTGCTGTTGATCTCTCAGTCTAATTTTCGTGTGATAATTTTAAATTTGTTGCCAGTGATTTTTTGTTTCTTAAACGAATACCTGAAGCAGCATAAGCAGCTTCTGCAAAGCCATTCAATGAACGTTCATTTCTACCTTGTACTTCACCCCAAAGTACCTGTGCATATTGAGCTACCTAAATTTTGAACCAATATTGGGACTTCGTGTAAAAAGTTTTAAAAATAGGCATGCATTTAATATACACGTAAGAATGAGGATCAGACTTTTTTTTTAAATATATATTACAGCAGGATAATCCGAAATCTACCCAGTGTAAAGGATGCGATATTATTTCAAGTAGTATTTTGTATCTTCACATATCTTTTTTACTACAGCAATATTTTCTTGACTCAAAAATATGAATCTTTTATACGATTTAAGATATAATTTGAATATGCTTACTTAAGTAGAAACTTATGTTAGTCTATTTAAATGCTAAATATATTAAAATAAAACTTGAAAATAACCTGAAGTGACATGCATGTATTTAAAGCCCACCAAATGGACCATTTGCGAATAGCATCAATTTGATATATTCGAACTAATTCATTTCTCATTACATGCAACCGGTATTTTAGGTAAGCACCATATGTTTTTGGTAATTCAATTCTTTCAACAATTGAAGCTGAAAATAATAGAAGATGTAGTATTTTTGATGAAATTTCGGTGATAATTTGCATAGAGAACGAAAAAATATATATGCATCAAAAAATTAGAACCTTCATGATAGCAACACAAGTTATTACTATCAACTAATTATGTCTACTGAATACCCTACTTCTATTTGTTGAATCAGTAAGTTTAAGAAGTATTTCTTTCCAGTAAACATTTGGTAAAAAAATTGCAAAAATAACAGCACAGCATGGAACTCCGAAACCTATCCACTGTAAAGTTTCATAGTTTCCTATTCTCGTTAGAATAACTGTTTGGGCAGAAAGATAGCATATCATACGTCCAGCCATTGTTGATGCTCTTGAATAACTTGTCACCCTGTAAAATTTGATTAAAAAATTTGATTTGAGTAAATCAAATTGACAAGAATTTCAAAATGCTTATAAAATAGCTAAAATTCCAACAACAAAATAACATTCAAATTGAGTTTTGTTAACGAAATTTAGCGTAATTTGAGGAAATTGAAGTAAATTATACCGCTGATATTCATCTTTTTCTGTTTTTGCATAAATATATGAGAAGAAGGCTATTTCAGAAGCAGAAGCCATTCCATACATCATCATTCCCAATTTTTGCGCTTCAACCGTTGGGCAGAATACTAGTACACCTCTTAAAAACATTACTAATAACGATTTTATCAAATGTACTTGCAGATATTAAAATTAGTAAACTCCAAAAAAAGTGATTTGCATAAATTAGTTCTTTCTTAAATGTTTCATATATTTAAATATGCTTACTCTAGTTAATTTTTATAACAAAAATTGTAAAATTCAACGAAAATTCATTGAATTTAACAAAATTTTGTTGCATTTATTAATTTAGTGCTTGTCACAAAACTAAAATCAAAGTCACCTTCAAAATTTTTTACACATAAAAATTATATTTTCATATCAGTAAATCAATATCACACGGAGGTGATATTAATAATATAAATAAACAAGAATAGTTTGTCACGTAAAATAAATGGCTTGTATACTAACGTATTTTTGTGAAAAGTGTTTTGTACTATTGTAGTTGAAAAAATTGTGTAACAAATTCTGATATAGAAAGTATACCGATAAATTGTTTGTCCTATTACTTCTAGTAACATTACTGGTTTATAAAGCAACAAATCGGTAAGCAAAAATATTGGTATTAAGGACAATAAATAACTGTACGCACTAAATGGGTAAACCTGAAATTTAAAATTTAACAATGCTTGAAATTGCATAAGATTCATTCTGATGATTACATTAATATAACTGGATAAAATTTAATTAATCAAACTATTATTATTTTTTATTTCTTATTGTTATCATTATTTCTTATCATTATTATTTCTTCTTCTTTTTCTTCTTCTCTTTATTATTATTATTATCGTTGTTATTATTGTCATTAATAATAATAATAATAATAACAATAATAATAATAATAACATTATTATTATTATTACGATAGGATAGCTGCTTCAAAACTATAAAATGGTTACCTTATTGCAGTAATAAACAAGGTATATAAAACTAGTTCAATCACAGAATTAACCTCATTTGTGAGTTGTTCTCGAGTCAAATTCAATACTTCATTTTGATATAAATAGAGAAATGGTTCACCAACTTTTAATTCTTTCATAAAACCATACAGACAAATAAATATCGTAAAGAAGCGCCACATTTGTGCTTACTGATCGTAATAGATATTAGTAAGCATAGACTTACTCTTCTACTGGTTGTTTTTAATAAAAAGTTGCGCGATAATTTTTACTCGCAAACTTTTGAGGTTTGATATAATAGTAGGAGGAGATACTGATGCATAGCTCAGGCTTAGTTATATTTTATTGCCAGACAATAATATTAAACATGTTGGCTTGATTTTCCAACTTTGATAATAAATTTGTACTTCGATTCATGCGTTTTTCACGAGGAAACAAAGATTTGAATACAGTGCACAGAAAGAAAGGCAGGCAATAAAAGTGAATAAATAAATGAATAAATAGATTCATTTTTAAATTGCTCAAATATCATACTTTTTTATTTATGACAGCGCTTTTAACCAATACAATTCTTGCGAATCATTCTTCAAAGTATTATTACTAATAATAAATAAATAAATGACAATAGTAAAAAGAATAATGCTGGAGAAATACATAATCGTTTTTCCACTGCAGCGTGTAAATTATATTTTCTCACTTATGGAATAAAAACTGTGATATGATATATATCGAAACAGTTGGTTCCTTGTCTTTAGCACAGCAAATTAAAGATAATTTATGCTTAACTTTCACATTTATTACTGAAAACATTTGCAAAAACTATTAAATAAGAGGACAAGTAAGTCACTGATAAAATAGTATGTCAATTTCTTGTTTTAAATTATCAATTTTGTTGCTCATAAATGGTCAGAACAAATTTGCAATATTATAGAATCATCAAAAGATTCAATCATAAAATATAATCGTTATTAAATTAAAACCGAAAAATTGTTGGACATTGGCAAAGTGAAAATTTAAATTATTCTTTTCTTTTTCAGCATTTACTTTGCAAAAAATTTTTATAATCCAATTTTGAATTAGTTGAAAATTACATCACTCTAAATAGTTATTTCGAAACTATTTTTATATCATTCTAATTTTACAGTTTTTTTGAAAATTTTAGTTACGTGGAAATTCAGAATTTATGTAACAAATGAGTGTAAAAATGCGTGAATACAGAATTTTTATTGATCTCTTGTAGTTGTGAAAAATGATAACTAAATTATTTTATAATATAAAAACTTGCAGATATATTATTTTTAATATTTCATTGCAACTTTTCTTTCCTTATAAAAAATGCAGAATTTCAGTGCAAAGAGTTTGCGAAAAATTAGAGTACAAAAAAGGAAAAAAATGTGTCATTATTATGTTTGATTATTAAGGAGCTTATGGATGAACAATTTTTATCCGAAAATCAGCCAAATAATATAATGAGAAAATATAACAGGAGAAAAATTATTGAAAATGTGCAAAAATTGCGCTATTTGTCACCGATCGTAAAAAATCTGTTTACTATAATCAGTACGATATACAATAAGCGTTGTGAGCATAATTTTATCTATCATTTTTATTCAATTTATAAAAATTTAATTCAAAAATTGTGCTCATAACATTTTTGCTTAGTTTCAGCCATTACAAATAGAAAACAACTTGTTGATCTCAAATTTCTGATAAAATGATGCATTATTTATAAATAAATTAAGCAATTATTGGCATTAATATAATCAAATATCGTCAGCATTATTAGTCAATCTAAATTATAAATTAGATTTGTGAAACCAATTAATGTATTAATTTCGTTAAGCAGATGGAAGTGATGTGGATAGAGTTTTAATTACTGCCCTTATTTTCTTACTTCTAAAATTTTTGGAATTTAAAAACGTTTAATATACTGTGATTTTCGTTATTATTTCATGCACTGCTCAATTTTTAATTCATTAACAAAATTGAAATTAAACAGACAACTCAACTTCATATTCTAATAAATTTATGATTGTATTCAAATTCTTTATTAATATAATGGAAATTAATTCCAAAGACCGAAAAAAATTTATTTTTTTAAGCATCACAAAACTTAAGCAGCAACTTTCATTAATAATAATAGTCATAACGATAGTAACAATAAGAATAATAACAATAATAACAGTAATAATAATAATAAGTATGAGTGGTAAAAATAGTTAAAACACTGATGTTATACAACAAGTTTTTACTCAAAATTATAGTAACAAGTAAAAGAAAATTATGCCATTTTTCGCTTCCACATTTTGACATTTAATTAATTTGCAAAAACATAGAATTTGTTAATATTTGTATTGCTATAATATTAAAAAAGTTATGAAGAAAAGAATTCAAAAGTAATTTTTGGAATCAAAAATGAAATGAAAAGTTTCACGAAGGTCAGAAACTGTTTGTTGCTCAGTCAATGTACCTACCCTACGTCGAATCCAGTTTTTTTTTTTTATCAAATTATTTTAACGATGCAATGAAATTTCAACATTTGCATCGCAAACAAGTAAATTTACAGAAATTTTAACTTGTATTTGTTTAGAAAGTAAATACTTATCGAGCAATAGAGAAAGAGCACAAAGAAATACTTTTTGATGACTGAAGTTGAGGTCATCATTTTTAGATGGACAACACTGACAAGTAGTTTAGTAAAGTAATAAACAAATACTGAATTGCATTTTTATACTTTCAATGATCAATTCCAAATACATGGGTCAATTTTGTTAGGTAGTAATTTGCATACCACTTTAACATGTGTTATTATTTGAAGATAGAGTATAAGAAAAAAAGATTTGATTGAAAAATTTGGCAAATTTACTTTATGAAAGAAATTTTAAAAAACTGGAAAACGTGCATAACCTTACTCTCACTTACAAAACTAGACTTACCTGAATTACTGCTATATAAAAGCTTCTCTGGTCATTTATTCTCAAAGCAATTCATGCTCGTTTTTGATTTACGTCAACAATTTAAGAATCTTTCAGTGCTCACGTATGAGGGCTGTCTTAATTTTAATTTATTCGAATCACGCATCCCTAACTGTATCTAGTAAATTAATCAAAGATTTTTATGAAGGACGGTTACTCAGAATGCAGTCAAATAGAATAAATTGATATTTAGTGAAGTCTGAAAATTGTAGCTAAATAATGTCTACTTTGCTTATAACCACTCATATTATGCATTACTTCACAACAATTATAAACGTTCAAAACTTTCTGTAGCAGCTTCTTATAAAATATTCGTTTAGTAAGATGCTATTTATTCTCTTTAATTTCATTCACGAACACTATTACATCTGTGCATATTTTTATCCCTGACTGCTTGTTTTTAAGCCTTTTTATCACATAATTGCTCATAAATAATACTCTACTAAACAGTAAATCATCTAGTATTAGCTCTCATTGTGCAAAAGTTAAGTCACAAATATTTGACAAAATTTTTAAGAATTCAGTTTCAGATCGAACTACTCTATTAAGTAACTATATATTCTCTTTGCGATTATCATTGAAAAAATGATTCATTCAGTACTTGCGACTATAATCTTCATTATTAGTCAATGTTGTGGTCAGTTAAGTTATGGTAATAGTAACTACTGTTCGTACTGCGCACCGGTAAGTAGCGGTTTAGGCTCTTATGGATTCGGCTACGGTAGTGGCAAATATGGTGGCGGCAGTTATAGCGGTGCCAATTATGGTAGCGGAAGCAGCTACGGTATTATTGTTTTGACTTATTAAAATTTCAGTTTTGTATATAATAACTGAATTACAATTATATTTTTCAAGTTGAGAATAAAAAACAATGCCAGTCAAAATCGAATTATATGCAAATCAAATAAGATTAAAAAAAGCACAAATTTCAGTAAGTGTTTAACTTAACTTAAGTACGTTCTTTACAAAATTTATTCCATTTAAAATAGGCTCGCCAAGTACTTTTGTTTCGAGTATACCATCTCAGAACACTAACTCATATCTCATGGGAAATAATTTTGTCCCTCCAAGCACTGCCAACAGTTTTGCAATGGGATCAAGTGGTTACGGCAGTAACACAAATTACGGTAGCAGTCCTAGTTCGAGTATCGGCATCTATGGATCTTCTCCAGTAGATTTTCTGCACTTAAATTTTGTTTTTGATTTAGTTTACAAATTAAATTCAGATTTTTATTTCTTCAATAAGTATCATCCATAAAGAAAATATGAGATATGTTATTTGCTTTCATGAAATGCAAAATTTTCACTTTCTTTTCAGAGTAAATCAACATTGAACAATGGGTACGGTATTGGAAATACTTATGCCAACAAAAATGAATTGTCTGGCTGCTACAGTAATAACTGCATACCAAGCAATGTAGCTATAAATCCATCATCAGCTTACAGCATTCATGGTAACAGTAATGGATTCGGTGTTTCAAACCCTTCAACTTACAATATGAATTTAGTAGCAGTTCCAAGTGTATCATCAAGCAACAGCTATTCCAGCTTACCAAATACTTACAATCTTCCTACTGTGTTCAGCAGTTATCCTGTACTCTATCAAGGATACAGTAATCAGGAAAGTAGCAATGTAAATTCTCTTAATAACTTACCTGTTTCTAATTATCAGTACAGTGCAAAAACCGCAGCAGATGATGCAACACAAGCGAAAAAATCAGTTCCTTCATCATAATCTAAATACTACTAGAAATTAATTTATTACAGTGATTTGTTTGTAATACTTTTTTCACGCTAAACATGAGTTAATAATTAAATGAATTCTCAAAAAATTTCGAAAATCAGCGCGAAAATATTTGAATAGTTTAAATTGTAATCAGCTGCCTACATAACTTGGCAATGAGAGAATTTTTAGCATAAAGAAGTAATCATCAAATGCTATTTCATATATACCTTGCCAGCAACTTACAAATAAATCTTAATTGGGGTGTTTTTGAACAAAATATACACCGTATTGTGATGTGTTTTTGAATCATTAATTTATTGGAATAAATATTAATTTGCTTATAATGAGTTCACACTGCCACAATAACTAATTTTGAACAATCAGTTGACTGGATTTCAGTTTTGAGGGAAATCACTGCTTTGATGATGAATAACTTTTGGTATGCAACTGCAAAGTTTTATAAAAAAATGTCACAATTTTCAGCAAAACTATTTCAGTTCTCATAAACATGCATGGATTAATCTGTCTTTTTGAACACATATTTGAAATTTATATTTTATTTTTGCTTTGAAGCCAGAATTAATTGTACTTGCCAACGAAATCCCCAAGTAAATAACAGATTTGAAGTGTTTAACACAATAAACTTGCACAGTTGCGCAATATTTGTCATACACTATAAAAAATACTAGTAATTGTATATTATAATAACGTAAAAATAACGTCAATTTTGTCAATAATAACGTAAAAATGCAGTAATAATAGTAATAACATGTATAATTACAAAGTCGATCAGAGAATTTCGAACGCTTATTTTTTTGTCCCGAAATATATAAGATGCATATGAGAGTGGTAATAAGTGTAAACAACAATGATATAAATCATAAATGATAAAAATTACATCACTTATTTCATTTTTGTATTTATGTAAATATGATGAATTAAGTTTATAAATTTTTTCTATTTTTCACTAAATCTTAAAATTTATTTTTTCCATAATTCACCTACATATTACTGCCTTCTCGTAATCATTTTCAGACACTTAATTACTCATATTCAAAGGAAGTCATTTCAATTTCAAAGTATAATTTGTAACACGTATGATTCAAAAAATATATTATACAGACATGAGCAAATGCTTTTCATTGTTTACTCATTATTTCCCCCACAAAAAATATTTCTTCTTTTTTACTTACATAAATGTGTCAAAATGAGATTATTGTAAACATTAGAGTTCATTCAATTTGATTGATTTCATTTCACTTCTGAAACTTAATCATTGTTGAAAGAATATTTTCGACAAGTAGCAATTTTGTTCGGCAATTAATGAATTTTACCAAAAATTTGTAATTTTACTTGCCTACATTAGTACAAACATTAAATAATACAACAATGAATTTGATGATATCGATGTTATTCTTACAGTAAACTTATAGCAGTAGTATATAAATGCGCAGTTTTGATATGAAATAGATTTCTGTGTTATTAATGAATTATAATTTCACAAAGTTTGATTTTAGATCAAAGATATGGTAATATTGTCATTCATCACAATAATCTTAGACAGTGTAAAATTATATATAATCGAAAAATTTAAACATGTTAGAGATCATTTTGTTTTTATTTAACAATAATGAAACACCCGTAACGTTAGAAGTCATTTTTCATTTCACTTCACTTTCGGGCTCATCAAAAAAATCAAAGTGAAAAGGTGTTCTTACGTCAATTCTATGCAGAGATGTCAGTGCACATATCATAAATTAACTTAGTAAGTAATACTTCAGCTTCCATCGAAATAAAATGACAGGAAATAACAAAAAATCAGACTTTTATATTATTTACTTTATAATCTAACAAACTGCAATTGACTTCATTGATCTGAAAAGTTTCAAAAAATTTGAATGTAAAAAGTATGCAAAATATTTCTGAAGTGCAACGAAATAACTGTACAAATAAAATTAATAAGCATCATAACAAAATTGCTTTTTAAAAGCTGTACTTTCGATACTATAATCTTTTATTATTGTTAATTGTACAACTTTGCTACTACTTATTGTACTAATTAACCTTTTATTTCTCAGAGAAAAATTTGCATATGCTAATTTAATTCAAAGTCATACTTAGTAGTTATGGCAAGAAATAATATTATTTTGATAAAAATTGTTGATTGATTGTTTGCATGTAAATTGCTCTTCATTATTGTAAAATTAGTTGCTGATTTAAACTATTTCCTGTGGAAATAAAATATGTTATCATGATAATAATTTTAATTGCATGGAAAATATTACGGCTATAATATTATTTTTATTGAAAAAAAAACAAAAGAAGTAAAAATTTCAATTAGCAAAGAATTAAAATAAGCCATGAAATTTGTGCGCTAATTTTTTCAAACAATGTAAAAAAATAAATAATAATAGATTAAAATTAATAGCTTGTAGTTAATAAACATAAAAATAAATCGGTTATATGATAAATGGATAGATAAACTGATTGATTGCATGAGTAAATAAATGAATAAATGACTGAATGACTCAATGAATGAATGAAAGAATGAATGACTGAATAACTGAATGAATGAATGATAGGTTGATTAATTAATGATTGATCGATCGATCAGCGAGAAAATGCATTAGATCAGATAAGTGAAGGAAAGAAGCTAAGTGAAGCCTTTCATTTTCCATTTTTCTCTGGCCAGTAAATCGTTATTAAGCAGAAAGTTTCTTACTATTCATCAACCAGCCGCGAATTTTCCACTGATTTTATTAATTATTATTCATCATCAATTATCTAACTAACCAGTGACTATTATTCTAATTTTGTTCACAGCTACTTCGGTCCAACCTAATCCAATTTAGTCTAATCTAACAAACTACTAACTACTAACTACTAATCTATGGTTTCTTGCAATACTCATTAGAGATTACTTGGCGCATATGCAGAATTTTTGATCATATTTTTCAGAACATAGAAAAATCATAATGGTAAAATAGTTTATGATTATCGTCTTGATTAGCAGATATTTTAGGCTCAAAAGTCATTTGTAATTTTTAAAGTTGCTAATTCAACTTCATTTTATTACACTGATATAATTACGCATATCAAAAAATTCACAATTCTAGTATAAGAGTATTTCAATTTTAGTACTGTTTCATACGTAATACTATTGCTTAAAAAATAAGCAAAAACAGAACAAATTTTAATTATTTATATATTCTCACATAAATTATGTATGTCTTAATTTTTGTTCTTGCTTCCATAACAATGTGTGATGAATGACTGGAAATAATTTTCTGTGCTTTTCTAAAATTTACTTTTTTTTACCTATTAGTGCAAGAATTTGTATGAATAAGAAAAAATTTGCTCGCAATTTCTCTAACGCTTTTAAGCTGTCAACTCGAGTTTAAATTTGAGATGTTTACAACGAATTGACATTTAATACTGTCTAATATTTACGCAAAACTTTTACTTTTTACTCGTATTTTTTCCTTTTTACTTATCAATTTTTCAGTTTTCCATTACTCTTTTCAGTTATTTTCATTACTGAAACAAATTTCCTGCACTCCTGCACAAATTTGTAAAAGTATCCTTTAAATTGTTATTTTTCACTAATATGTCTGATTTCAAGATAATACTACATTAATACTAATAAAATATATATATATATAATATAACTATTCAGAAACTTATGAATTCCCTTTCTTGTTATAAATTTTGACTTACATTATAAAAGCGCACCAAAAATAGTAGAAATTTATTATTATGGTGCAAATTTGGTTTATGCATATTAAAAGGTTACGAATAGAATAGAAGTTCAATTTTCACTAAAATTAATTATGCTGCTATAAACTTCAGCCTGTTAAGAATGTAAAGGAACGATAGATGTGCTTTAGAAGAAAAGAAATAATTGTAAAAGTTTCTTGGCGAATTTTTACGTGTACTCTCCTTTACTTATTAATTTTGTAACAAATTCTTGTACAGTATTGTGATATAATAATACAAACGCAGATGTTTAAGACGTAAGTAAGATGGACAGAATAGTTATGAAGGACTTGTATCACTTGATTATTTGTTTCGATACAAATTAGTTATGTGTAATGGAAATTAAGTTGTGAATTGAAAAATGAATCATGAGCTAATAGTGTCATGAATAGGAAATGATTTGATAATGTGGGCTTGCAATAATATTATACATAAATTAGAAGATTGCTTCATTATAGCAACAAATGTTTGAAGTGAGGCATTGTTGTGTATTTTTTAACTATGGACAGTAAGTTATATTGTATATGGTAGAATGGAATGAAATGATGAAGTTCGTAAAGTGAAATTTAGTAGATGCACTCATTTGTAGTATCAGTTAAAAATAGTTGCTGTGTTCAAAATGCTTCTTGTCTAATAGTCATTTATTAAGTTAACTTTTAGTGGGATGGTTAACTTACAATTTAAATAAATGTAATTAGTATTAGGATGTATTGTAAACGTTGGTGGAGACACTTTTTTTTATTGCTAAAAGTATAAAAACAGTTATTTCTTGCCTTCAAGCAATTAATTATTCATTAATTATCTAAGAACTGAACAATTCGCACTACTTTTGCATTTTTGCAAGCTTAAAAAAGCTAATATTTGCTAGTACTAAAAGTTTGTCATTTCATTTACTTTCATATTCAGATTACCTGTGTATTTACTTATCTATCGAGTAGTTCATCAAATAATAGATAAGCATAACATTTTCTTTGATTGCACTTTTTAAACCTGCTGCAATAGTAGGTAGACCTACAAAGATGATTGAATGTTACAATCAAATATTTTATTCAAAATAATACTTTCTTCATCTACTTCTGACTGAAAACATAAATCTTTGATGAATTTTGAGTTGCATGCTAATCACGCCATAATTTATTAACAGATTGACGTAATAAAATCAAATTCAGCTTTGATTCTAGACTAACATTAACAATAAAACGAGAGTCTTACATGACAATCATATTTAAGCGATTTCCCTGAGGATTTTAGCG